CATAGCTTTTTTTTCTCAAAAAAGAATTTGAGCTTTTAAATGTCACAGAAACTGCTGGTTTTGGTCTCTCTACTGCTTCAGCACGCAATGAGATCCTCCCGCTCCATCACTTAGATCTTTAACTTCCCCAGTCCCTTGGGGAGCTGCAGGTGACTGGACTTTTAGCAGTCTCAAAGAAAAAGCTGAGGGGCTGAGCCAGGCAGGGGGGAGCCCAGAGCAGTGTCAGTGCTCTCTGTGCCTCTGACTCAAAGCTGTGACACACTTGGCTGCCCGTGTCACTCCACTTATCTGATGGCTTCATCCCAGCAGTGCTGCAGGGTCTGTGCTCTGAATTGTCACACAGCACCCAGGAGTGTAAGTGAGGCAGACCAAGGATAGCTGGAGTTACTACTCAGATACAAACTATAAAATGTTCAGTAATAAATACTACTGCCAGTAGTAGCAAATGCCAGCTTGCTATTACTTGTGTATATTTTATGTGAATGCAGACCTGTTTCTAAGGCTAACCATATTTTCAGCCACAGACTGCTGAAGGCATTAGCAATTTTGCAGTATAAAATCTACAGAGCATCTAATTAGTCAGTTTTTAAACTGAGCATTTAGACCTTTCATGAACTGCACCAGCTTACTGAAAATTTTCTGGAAAGAAAACCCTTCAATGTCAAAGAAATGCAGAGCTGAGCCTAGTGTATAGCTCCACTTCTATTTTTTCTCTATCAGACTAAAATAATGACTCATTATAATAGGTTATTTCCATGTAATTCATAAAATAGTACGGAGTAATTGCCCTCTACAAAGTTTCTAAAGTTTCTAGTTTAACAAATGCTTTCTGTGCCAAGTGTAACCCAATTGAGTTTAACATTGATCAGGAGCCTCCTAGAGTCAACAAATCACATAATGAATTACAAGTCCATCTGTTCAGACTGAGTCCCTAGACACAGCCAAGGTTACTGCATTTTTATTAAACACTTCAAATGGAAGAAACTGAGGTCCAATTTAGTTTAATACAACTATATTGATATAATATAAATATATTTGATATAACTGAGGGAAAAAATCCAGTGAAAATTAGTCTAAATATTGCAAACCATCAGAGAAGAGAAACTGTAATTTTCATCTCAATAAATCAGAGATGATAGCTTTATCCAGGTTGCAGAAGATCCTTTTCACACCTATCCTCTGTACTAATCAGTAGAACAGACCTATTCCACAGTCCCTCATTTCACAGTTGATCAAGTTAATCTGTACAGTGGGGAATATTCTGAGAAATGTTTCCCTCATCCCTGCTGTTTGGAACCACTGTACCAAGATAGATAATTACATATTATGAACTCATCACAACCAAGAACAAGAGTGGAAGAACAAGGATGTCTGGTGGAAAGAGGTCCTGAGGAAGTGGTTGACATGAATTCAGTCATCTTGGAAAAAAGGTTTGCGTTTGAGCATCCTGATGCTCTGGATAATTTGCAAGGCTGAGAGCTGTCAGTCTAATAGAGATTATAGATCTAGCAGTGACATGTTTTTCTTTCATACCTCACCTGACTTGACAGACTCCACCCAGGTTAACAGGTAGTAGTTGGAAAAAAAAGCAAAACCACAGATTTTATTTCAGAGTTTTCTCAGTGAAAAAGAAAAAAAAAAAAAATCCCCCTCTTCTACCAAACTAATGTCCAGAAATCCTCTTTTCCATTTCTAGTTCACAGGTGGTTTATTGGGCCTGCCTTGCATCTCTGGCATGCTGCTATTCTGGTACTTCTGCCCTGAGATTAGCAGGATGAAAATTGGGCATGGCTGCAGGGCACAATGCTCCATGTTTGGGGAACTGTTGGTTTATCTGTAAGGCTGCTCTTACAGGGAGGGATTTCAGCATCTCCCCGTCCTGTCCTTTCATTTTCCCTTTCTGCACTGTATTCCCGACCCCTCTACCTGCAGCTTGCTATTTCCCCCCTCATGGCCACCTGTTTGCACAGTGTTTACCACAGCCAATTCCTGACCCCTGGGCTGCTCAAAAAGCCATGAATAAATGCAGCATTGCAGCTTGCCAGGCACTGTGACTGGGAAAAATCTGGCTTGCAGAGATCTGTAAGTGTTCCCCACTCTATGCACTCTCTTTTACAGACTTTTTATTAATATGGAACTTCCTATTGAATTATAATGGAGTTACCATGTATAAGTGCTATCATGTACAATGTTGTTTTATAGATCCAACCTGTTTAGACAACACACAAATCACACTGCAACATGCTATGGCAACACCACCATGCAAAACATAGGGGTTTTTGTTTCAAACATTGGGATCGTTTCCTTTGTAGCTGTTTATTTACTTTTAGTGTCCTTTACTGACTTTGTCCCATTGAATCCAAATTTCTTCCTGATTACAGTGGATTCAAAGTATATTACAGGAAGCCTTTACCTATAAGAAAGTAGTTAAAGAATTACTGTTTTGTTTTTAAAAGTGAGATATTCCCACAGCCTCACAAAACTTTCACTGCATTTTTTTTCTTTTTCTGATTACTGGAAAGTATATATGCATTTTTTAAATACTTGAGGCAATACTCTTGAGCCTCGTTACAGGGGAGACAGTTTCTGACAACTGCTTCTCCTTCCCTAGAAACTGAAAAAACAAAAACCATGATCTTTGCTGAAAGCTCTCATTTTGTTCATTTCAACACACACAGCTCCACTAACCAGGTCACAGAAAAAGCCACTGACGCGCACACACACACACAGAGCAGCGTCACCTGCACAATTCAACAGACAATGCAGACAAACTCGAGTATAATCCAAGATCTTTCTACCTCTTTTCATAACAGGTTAGTGCTCGTTCTCAGTGTTGGTGTACAGTTTTTATGGCATGGAAAAATAGGGATGTTTCTGCCCTACAAAAATAAATGCGTTGAATTCTTTAGTTGGAACTTTCACAATGTAAAAGGAAAAAAAAAATCCCAAAGAAACTGGATAAGTAAAAAGAATCCCAAGCATCATGAAATCAGTGGATCTTCTGGCAGGTGGCAAAAGAATGCCCAGACAAAATCTACCAGCCTTCATTTTTTTGCCTTTGATAAATAGCTTCTGAAAGTTATACATTGAAAAGAAAAAAAAATCAGTTCTTTTAGTCCATTATGAAAATGAATCCAAATAAAACCCTTGCACATAAACAGCATGAATTCTTTGGTCCTGTAAAAGCTGTTAGACATTAAGGAAGATGGGAAAATTATTATTGTTTTTTTTTCCCTGTGCCCAATTGAAAAAACAGGGACAAAGTCTTTTTTAGTAAAATAAAAAGAAGACAGGATGGAAATCCAATGTATTCAACTGTTTTAGACTTAGCATTTTAGAAGGCACCAGAAAAAGAAACAACATCAAGCATGTTTTCACAGATTCTTTACTAAAATTATAGGGGTGGGAGAAGTGACTAGTTTCATGCTTCCTAATGTAAAAAGCATGGCTCCCAAAGGTTCATTCCTCCATGTGTGACTATTGAGATCAGTGGGAAAGGGACTAGGGAGGAGGGGTTGTGATGAAAGCACATTATAAAGCTGTCATTCCCAGGAAAATTCACAAGCTGTGATGAATACACTTTTAACCACCAAGTCAGAGAAGCAAAAGGGAAAGTAGGGATCAGTGAGGGGAAGGGAAGAAGGATGTCCCATCAGGCTTACTAGTCTTCCGAGGCAACAAACTTACCACATTGCGTGTGAATTTCTCAAAAGATGTTCGACGATCCAGAGTGTTTTCCAACTTAAATTTGAAATAAATAAAACAAAAGAAACAAAAAGAAAAAGGAGGGGGAAAAGAAAAGCAAGAACAATGGAGTAGAAAAGGAGGTTTGATGTAACAATGGACTGCAAAACAAAGTTTGTATAAATCAGGAAGCAAACACAGGTGTGAGGCTGTAATGGGACTTGGCAAAACAGGGGATGGGCAAAACAGATACAGTACTAGACAAAAGTAATTTTTCATGGGGATCAAACTAGTTTGAATTTAAAGAAAAACTGAAAGTAAAAAGAAATAATGAAGTGCACATCTTGTGTTAATGAACTGACATTCACAAACTTAAGGACTTCACACAGACAGTTGAAGCTTTCTGGTATTTTCAACATCTCTCTCTATATCGGATCTTCAGAAATCAACGTTTGAACAAAAAACAAAATCACACAGTACTTTCATATAATTTTAGGTTGTCATTATTAACAACAGAATTCTAGTGTTAATAACTACCTTGTTCCAGTAACAATCGGGGCCCCGATTTTGCCAGGCACAGGGCTCCCAGCTGATTCTAGGAGATTACTGTTTAGAGCCCGCTAATAGAATTATTTATCATCATGGAAATCTCCATTGTACAAGCTGCTCCACATACTCTGGGCTGTGGCTATTCAGAACCCATTCCATAACTGGACTTTTCTAAGAAAATATTACATACCAAGACATGAACCTCTGTTTGCCAAAGTGTGACATGATCAGTCTTTCAAGTCAGATTTCTAGCCTACTCAAAACTATTCATGTAGTAATAGGGACAGAAACAAAATTGGGAAGCCCCTATATTTATGGTTGAAGTTAGAAGTTATTAATATGAATAAGCTTGTTTCTAAACACATTCTGTAGCTTTCATAGATGGAATAAAGAGAACAACAATTATTACATAAGCAAACTTGCAAACATGAAAGACTATTCTTCTGGGATTTTATTTTATTTTTTTTAATGTATTTGTAAAGCACTTTGCAATTTAAGGTGCTTCATAACAGAGAAAACAGTACAATATGGGATGTAAAAATAAAAATAAGTTTTGCTAGATTAACTTATTGAAACATGCCCGCATGCAGGATATATACACATATATGTATTTGAACTCCTGTGTGTATGTGACCCTCCAAAAACGCCAAGCTGGTCACCTACCAGATATCCAGTTGCACTGGCACAGGGGAGAGAAGACTGAGTATTGTTGCAAACATAACCACTGCTTTGCACAGTGGCAAGACAAAGGCAAGATGGACCAATACCTTTTTCTTGGCCTGTAGCAGCTCCTGGTAGGCACTGGATCGTATAAAACGAGGATAAGAATCACTTTTCATCAGTTTGTAAATGTGCTCCTGAAAAGGAAAGGAGGAGCTGTTACTGCCACAGAAGAGGACACATGTAAAATGGGAGGCAGCCACATGTTTTGGGTGTGGAATGTACACCAGGCAGCACTACCATGAATAGGAAGTATTACAGGATAGCAGGTTTCAGCTCTGAAGGGAAGGCTGAATTGCTTTCTATTCTTAAAGCTGAAATCCCACCCATTTCTTATATATAATTACACACACACTACTTACCAAATTTTCCAAATTTATTTTTTCAATATTTTCAAAATTTCCAAATTTATTTTCTGAGAATTGGTAACTGAGTCCTAGCTTCAGGTCCAGCTTCAAACCTCCCTTACATTAGTTAGTTTAGCTAAGTGATGAAATTAAGAGCTCTGGGTCCCTCCTCATCAGATTTTCTGAATTAGTTTCTGGAGATACTCCTGTGATTTCAGAGTCTAAGAAGAGGTTTTCAATTCAGCATCACAATTAATGCTTAGGTGACTGAGGATTTCCACTGGCTACCCTTGACAAAATCCTTTGACAGGTGTTCAGTCTGCTCTCCAGTTAACAATATAAAAAAGGAAAATACATATGTAATTTGGAAAACAGTTTCAGGCTAATCTAATTTTCAAGATATTAATTCTTCAGAGGCATGTGAATATTTGGAAAACTTTATTCAGAAAGTAAATGACAAGAGCAGCTTAAAAAAACTTAATTTTGGAATGTTCTAATTTCTGAAAAAGATGAAAAACAAAAAATCTGTTATGTAGAACACTTGATAATTTTAGTTCTAATGACATGCTAGGGAAAAGATTTGTAGAAAAGGCAGCCAGAACAGAAAATACTCTCAAAAATATTTTTTGAAAACCCTGAATCATTAGCTATTCTATCATTACCTATTTTCATGGACTTTTTGTTTTATTCAGATTCTATTTTCTACTGTAGGAAACTTGTAACACAGCAATTGGGAAACAGCAAACAAACTGGAAAGAAAATACTGTTTCTCAGCTTGGTAGTGCATAAAATTAGTAAACACAAAAAAAGCCAAAACAAACAAAAAAGCCCCAAACAAAACTTCCCACCTTATGTGAAAATTAAGGCAAGGTAAAATTAGAACTGATGTTTAATTTTTGCTGTATTAGAAACCATAGAAATTATTCTAAATGTCTTTGTATTTCTCACAGTAAGCAGAGAAATTCCGATGTATATTCAAAACTTAGACTGCTTTATTTGGGAAAGGTTTTTTTGCACTCAGTGTCTGTGAAAGCAGACAATGCAGTCAACAGAGAGCAGAAATTGGTGACGAGCATTAAAATCTAATTTCTGTACAAAAAAATATGCCTGTAAAAGCAAGAATAAATTGGGCTGTATCAGTATTGTTAATGTACAAGTTAGCCAGGGACACATTAATGCACATATTTACCACAAATGGGCTATTTTTACTTGTGTGTCCCATTTTACCTATGTATCTACACTGGACATGAGTTTCATCTTTCTGTTTCCAGTCCAGAAATGCTTTTAATACATTTTTAACCACAATTAAATGACACACCAACTGCCAGAATGGCACACCAGCAGTTTCCTTCCCAGCTGGCAGGCCAAAAAAAGCCTGTTGCAGAGGCGGAGCCCTAGCCCTGACAAAACCCTCCACCTCAGGTGGGACACTTTAAAGTTCCTAAAGTTTCAAGTAAGAGCACAGCAGGTGCAGCCTCTCCCTTTTCCACAGAAATTGAGGCTTCCAGGTTTAAGGTTTTGTGCTGAACTGGATGAAGCAGAGGTCCTCTCCAGGTGGCAAAGTCCTGCTTGCATAAACACTGAATATTCCATGTCTTTCATAAATGAAGGACAAAATTACAAGAAGGGAGATCTGGCAGTAAAAGGGTATTGAAATTTTACACTTATTAAAAAAAAGAAGGATACTGGCAAGGAATTTAAATGTCAATTACTCACTCAACTGCAAAGACACGTTGTTTAAAAACCTTTAATCTTGCTCTATTTTTTACTTTTGCCATTTATGTCTTTGCTATACACTGCATTCTTAAATCTCCAGGGGTCAGCAGATGCAAGTAAAAATTGTATGTGTGGTTTAATGCAGAGTACTTCAAAACAGTGGCTATGACATAAGGTCTACTGAAAATTTTATTGTTTCTTCATAGGTTGCTATTCTCATAATGGAAAAATTAAACGGAGGTAAAATTATTCTCCTTCATATTTACAGCAGAGGCATTCTCCCAAAAAGTAGAAAGCCTCGATTCAATTCCCTTTTCTCCTTCATGGGCCCTGTAGCAGCATCTCCTGACTCCCAAGATGATGACCTAATAATCAAACTGCAGGAAATTCTGCAGGGATATGATCTCAATCTCTCCTTTTGACACCATTTCACTTTGCATTAATAATTAAATTTTCATCACTGGGCTGCTGATGAAAATGGAGGATGATACCAGTTCTGCTTCTTTTACTGTGAATCCATTTATTTTCTATTGCTTTTCTTAGAAGTCTTCAGAGATTAAATATTAAGTTATAAGTCACACGAAGTGTTGCATTTAATACAGAAGTACTTAATTTTTTCTTCACTACATGCTTTCCTCCATTCAAAGTCCTCTTGAAACCTCGGTATCAAGTACAGAAGTTTCATGAACTTCATATGCCTCATGAAAGAAAGAATGTTACGCATTTGCATTGCCAAAATGGCATTTTAGGAAACAGGGTGCTATCATTTAATTCCCAAATACATCTCATTTTTGCATATAGATTTCACTAGCCAATATTCCATTTCAGATGTCCATAAACACAATTGCAAACTGACCTGAGCGTCTTCAAATGTGTATCTTCCAGGTTCCTTCACATTCTGAGTGGTTTTGTCATAACTTTTTGAATCTAGGTTGATGGCGCTGGGTGCACCTGGAGCAAGGAATTCTTGCCAGATTTCTTGGACGCGAGCAGGAACTTCACGGATTGGCCTCTTCTTCAGGTCTTCTACTGCTAACCAGAACCTATGGCACAACACAGCACCTTGACTTCCAGCTCAGGATCACCACTAATGAAGTGCCCACATTCTTCCTTGCTCTTAAAAAAGAAATTAAGTAACTGAAGTTTTCATCTAGACATGCTAAAATAAGAAAAAGCGGAGTGATTTTATGTTGGATCAGCATTCTGGTGTACTGTCTCAAGGCAATCAATCCACCCAGGGAAGCAATTTTTAGAAGGCTCTTCATGGGATAGATAGGAAATCCTTCATTACTTATGTATGGGTAACGTGCTTGCAGGAAGATTCCAGATTTAGCTAGAATTAAAGTGACACTTTATTTTGGCTGGACCACAAGGGCTTATATTACTTATAACCTAACTGCTTTTTGACATTCTTTCAAAAACTAATAATTTATATTCTTGCTATCTACATGAATCTCTGAGTCCTATTAAATCCTAAACCATGTAACTAATTTTGTTACTCAGAAATCACGCACACGTTAAAAAGCATTTCTTTTGTTAATTACAATTTAATTTCTCTCTTCAGCATTCCATTTACATGCATATTTTTGCTATAAATGTTGAATGGAATTGCACATCCTCTCTTCTGCTGCTGAGCAAACCAACATTGGGCAACCATACGTAGTGCAGCCAGTTCACTGTATCCTCATTCAGTCTGGAACAAGACCACTAAAAAGGTCCCGAGCACTTTATGATCATAGCTAACTAGCTGCAAGCTTTATTTCATTATTTCTTCTATTGGCGTTCAGAGTCTCTCATGGCACAAAATAATCCTAAATTAATTCAGGATTCCATTCTTAGACATGATTCAGACCACTTAGTTCTCCTCCAAATCCAAGAGTTCAACTAAAGTTTGACTTTGGTAAACATGTAATATATACCGTTGCAACTTTTCATTATTGTTCTGACACAGCTGATCCTATGAAACAGAGAAGCTGAGCTTTGAAGTGATTTAACTTTGAAATCAGCTGGATTTTCCAAGGCTCACAAATAAATTGGGTACACCTTGTGGTTTGCATCCTGCTTACACTGTGAGATCAACTTAAATTCTCTTAGCTGAGTTCAACAAGGATGGGATAGGAGAGAACAGTGAAACCGTACTCAGACCCCCAAGAAAGCAAAATGACATCACCCTCAATCCAAAATCTAATTTAATTATTGTAAAAGGCTTAAGAGAGGATAGTAAAGCATAGCAAACCTTATAGTACTCTTGCTATAAGATATCCTTCACTTCCTCTCAGGAAGCAATTATTCCTTCATAGTTCTGTATTGAAATTTTTTAGCAAAGATGGAAGAGGCCTGTGTTCATTTTCCACAAGCCAGCATGGGTAGCTTCATGCTACCAAGAGACTATTTTAGGTATTTCTACAACCTTCAATTTCAATTGTACATAAGCACAATTTTTCCATCTAAGATTCTCCAAGAGACAGAGAAGCAATATTGTCCCAGTTTTCCAAATATATTAATAATGTAATAATGTACAATGGTTTCTCCAAGGTCACAAAGGGGACCTGTGCCAATAGAACTCCAGTTTCAAAACTTCTGGGTAGCATCTCTTTTATTAATGAACTACAGTGTGAATTGAACGTAATTCTGCACAGAGCCTGGGGATGTATCCTGAGAATCTGATGGCAATGCAGGAATGCCTGATAACTCAAGTTTAAAAACTGCAAAGCTCACAAACTCTAATTCAGTTCACTCTCTCAAATATGGGCAACCTACTTTGGTTTCCTTAAGCTGCTTTAGATATTTGCATTTAAAAGCACATATCCTGCAGTGCTAACCCCTTCAAGTGCATCTTCTGGGATTCACTGATTGCTCATGTGTCTCCAAGTCAGGTAAGGAACACAAAAATGAAAGGGAAGGATGCTCTTTGTAAACACACATTTTCTGTCTCCCTGCAGACATCCTGCAGATCTAGCTCAGACATGTCATTCCCTTTTTTGTTCCATTGTATCACCGCCAATAACTTTGGAAGTCACTGCAAACATGCTTTAGGATGCTATTTGCTTTTGCAAGTAAACTGTTTTCATATAGTAGGTTATACTCAATTCTGGGGAAATAGATGGGAGATAAATTTCAATAAATTTAAATTCTATGCTTGCAGCATAGAATAGGGAGGCTGTATAGACCAATTCCTGCAGGCTGAACACCAGTTCTTTGATAGATTAATTTAATTTTACTCTTCTAACAATAGCATGCAAAGACTCAACTAAAAACGTGAAACTCTAAATATAGAAACCTCTCCAAAAGTGGGAAGAATTATGATTTCTGTGTTATGTCTAGGGTGCTTATTTCACAGCCAACACACATTTTAAGATTTTAATCTACTTATCTTTTAAGAAAAGATGCCTGCCCTCCTCCCACAGAGAGTTGAATTCAAATATTCAAAGTTAAGAAATGACAAAAATAAGGCTGCTCCCTCTTGCATTTTCAAAAATAACTTTTTTCAAATATCCCATGGCAACCAACAGCACAGATTAAGTTGAAATGGAGTCACAAGACCTCAGCACAGAGCCTCAAATCAAAAGAGCTCCCTGTACCATTTTACAGCTCTCTGCCTCATGAGCTGGGACCAGAGCAAGGGAAGACTCCTGTGGCAAAAAGCACACAGTCTGCAACATTAACTGTGTGCAAGGGCAGGTGAGGGGTGAATTATATTTTTTGGGCAATGATATACACAGACTGCGTATGGAACTAGAACTCAGTCTGGCTGCCCTGGGTTGAAATTGCATTTCCTGTTGGTGGAGGTTTGCCTGTGCCATGGAGACCCTTCCTAGCAGATGCTCAGCACTGTTTGAACAGAGACCTGAGTAGCTGAGTGTGAACCTCCCTGCTGTCCTCTACCCCAGCATCTGGGCTGCCACCTGCTGGGTCACAGAGCAGAGTGAGGGTGTGTAGTGCACAGTGGTAGCACATCCAGCCACACGGGCTGCTAAAACACATGCTGCAAGGTATCTGGGGATTGTGTCCTCCAGCTGGATTGCTTTCAAAGCCACAGCGGCCTCATGGATAAATAGCACAGCTGCAACACAGCTGCTGTCCCATTAACTGACCTAAAGGCAGGTGCAGCCAGATTCCAGACCAAGATAATCAGTTACATTTAGCCCACAGGAACAATGAGTGAGAGAAAGGCTGCAGTGGTTCTCTCTGAAACACATGAGGTATAGTCAGTGTGGAAACACTGGAGTGGGAATTAGGTAAACTTTGCACTCAGTGCATGTGACAAAACAAGTAAGAGGCTAGACCTTTCCGATTTTCAGAAAAAGCAAACAAAAACCTAAACAAATGAATAAAATCACATAATATATTTGCAGGGCCAGGAAACACTGCCCTCTGATTTCTAGAGTCCACCCTCTTGCCCACTACAACTTCAAGTTTCAAGGCATAGTAGAACTGAAGGATTTTGAGAATATGACCGAGAAACTCATTAAATCCTGCAGCTAGTTTGTTCTCATCTACTCTGCAGAAATGGCAACATTGCTGGCACTTGGCATTTAATCTTGAGCCTGAATGAGGAATAACTCACAGGCAATTTCAGCTTTGAGGATTAAATTTCAGTCAGGTTATTAGCACCCACAACAGGGCCTCATAATCACCACTGTAAAGGATAAACACCTCATAAAATGTCAGCTTGCAGGGAGATGGTTAGACAAAAATTATTGAAGGAAGACATCCAAATCTATCAAATTTCTCAGTCTCTCTTATTTTTTCTGGATAACAAGAGTGCAAAGTCCCTTTTCCCCTACTAGTCACACATTACAGACCTAAGAAATGAGCATCAAGGAAGGGGCAAGGGGTCCAGTGGCTTTTCCTTCTGTGTATCATGGAACCTAACCTGTCACAGTGGCTTTTCCTTCTGTGTGTCATGGAATCTAACCTGTCACCACTCTCCCTTCACTAACTTAAGAGGTTTTTCACTCTTTGAACTGCTTTGGAGATCACACTCACTGCACAAGGATTTGGACAGGCTTTCAGGTTGGCAGGTCTGAAATTATTTAATCCTTACAGGCTGCAATTCCTACAGAATAACCACTTGGGAGCAAACCTGTAGTCAGCATACAAATATTAATTTTCCAAATAATTCTGCTACTCTACAGACAAAGGAAGGACAAGAAGAGGAATACAATTTCCTATAGAAAGTAAAGACATTAGGTCTCCAGGTGCCATGGTGCAGTAAGTTTGATTTCATAAACTCACTCTCTTTGAAAAGTACTTTTTTAGCACTTGGAAAACCTTGTGACTAAGCTCAATAGCACTGGATCATGCTCAGACTTTAGTCTTGTGAATTTTAAACAATGGTCACCATTTTTGTAATAGGCATTGGGAATTTCATAAATCTATTATCCAAATCATATGTTACTTTAGCTATTTGTTCTGTGTATTGAGCAGCACACAAAGCAATTCTTCCAAAAAATGTGCATGGTAACAAGAGATCACAAGTCATTCCCTGCATCAGGTGAGTGCAGAATCCAACCTGTAAACTGCAGTCACACTGTAATGAAGTTACTGCACTGACAGAACTGTTTATGCAGTTTTATTCCTTTGCTATTCCTTTACAACACTCCTTCAGAGAGTGAAATACTATTAAGCCCCATTTACAGGCAAAGAAAGAAGATAACAGAGATACAAAGTAAGAAGGGGAAACCTGGTTATTTTCCTGATCACTGCACAATTCTTAGTATGAAATCACAGCTCAAGGTCCTTCATCCTTGCTGTGTTCTTTAAGACAGCATCTGTGTCCCAAGGAAAGGATACAGACCCTTTAGGACAGGATCAGTATTCCAAGGCAGGGATACAGATCCTTTAGGACAGGATCTGTATCTGCCAAGAATGAAATTCTCAGATACCGTAGGCGCTCTCAGTCAAAGGTAATGTAACAGTAACACGGGGACTTCTTGCTATGCAATATCATTACACTTGAATAGAAATGGTGCATCTGGTAGACTTATCATTTCATGGTTTTGGTATTTGTTTCACAAAAAGAGGTATAAGACACCTAATCACCTAATGCCGGAGCTCCTGCCATGCCTGCAGTCCCTGCTGTGTCCTGTGTACTCAAATACTTGAAAGCTCAAAAGCAGAGTCCCAGCTGCCTATCCAACTATAGGCTTGGCAGTGCTGTAAATTTTATAATTATTAGATCTGTAGAAGTACAAGAACCAGCAACTGATTTGAGTTGAATTTGTTGCAGTGGGAATATGTGGGTGGACGTAATTATTTCTCTTAAGGTGGCTGTCAAAATAATAATTTTAAAAATACCAATAAAACCCCCAAATTACCATGATGGAGTAAACAGGTGAGCAATCAAAGTGGTTGCCTTCTAAGGTTTATTTAGTGGTAATGCTTGAACTCATCAAGCTTTTAACTTCTGTTATTGACATCTAAAACATTTTGACAGCCATACACAACAAGCTTTACAAATTCATCTTTGCTAACCCAAATTTACTATGTGAACCTAATGGACTGATTTCCCTACATCTTAGGCACTTACAAACATAATTCTGAGCTTCTGAGACAGTTTCCCTACAGCTAATTAACACAGAAAGCACCTTCTCAGAGCAAATTTATCCCCTGCCTGGCCTTTAAGATCACATTCACTGTTTCTCAGATATTATATTTTATAATGCCAATTTAAGAATTTAGAGGAAGAGACAGAAGAGTAGATGGCATGTCAAGGAATCATCTCTGAAGAAATTTCTTGAGGGAATTTTTCTAGATCAGTTACTTGCAGTTTGCCTGTATTTAGTGTTGTAAATAGGATTAGACGAAAGAGTTAGGGATTATGTGGGTAACAGTCTAGTTGGCAGAGAGACAAATTAATCACAGGAAAGCACCACAAACAGCAGCACACACTGGGCTCAATGGGTTCATGTTTGAACAGCTGCTCTGCATAACAAATAACCAGGATGCTCTTTAAACAGTTATTTAAAAAGAAAAAAAAAAAACTTTCCTTTTCTTGGTATTATTCTGATTTTTAAACATTCATTTACCAACTGACGTTTTTAATAAGAAAAATCTGTATTTGTGACAAATAAAGTCATCAACATACACATACAGGTCAGGCTATATTTCTGATGCAAAGTTAATGTTTGAATATGAACATGGTCAGCAACTTAGAGGACTCCAACTCATTATTCTGCTGACAAATTTAAATTAACAACAAGGAGATCTGTGCAATTACCCGGCATTTATAAATCAACACCATAAATATTAATGCCTCTTGTAAGATGCTACAAAAGCATAATTTTAGTATGAATGGCTATGCTGCACCACTTTAGAGTAAGAATTGGCATAGGAAAAAGTAGGTTAGGATTATTCTGAGTTCTAGAATGTAAATGCAAATAGGATTTTATACTATTATGTTATTGGTGAATGGAAAGTGATACAAATGACATCTGACAAGAAGGTGGAATTAAGATAAAAACGTGTTGCCTATAGTTTTGTACTATGCTCAGCTTATTTTTTCTGTCTACAGAAAGGCTGTTAATAATCTCTCAGAAATAACTCTTACTGAAATACGACTTTCTTAGAACAGCAAAAACAAAACAAGCTATTAACCAATTGATGGACTGCCATTTTTAAAATCAAGTCATTTTTCCCCTCACTTAAAAGTAATTCTGTAAGCACACTTTTAAAAACATACTGTCTATGCTTCATACACTGAGAACACTTTCCATTTTACAATTAGTGAGGAATTCGAGAGCCAGATGTCACCCTACTTCAGCTGTGTCAGATGCACAAGTACTAGAATATTGGTGGAGACATTCAAAATGATCCCCAGAAGCCAATCAACCTGATGAAAGTCAATTAATTTTAATTTTAGATCCTTTACTTATTTTCAATATTTCTTATTTTCATTTTTCTTTTCTCATAATATTTGACTAAATAAATTATATTGAACAGGCTTTGAATGAATCCATTTTGTATGTGTTTAAAAGAAAAGCTTAGAGAAAAGTTCTTATATGAGTAGTTTCACCAAAAGTTGAATATGAATGGAAAAATATGCTTCATGTGAGTCTCTGTTAACTACATGAATATTTCCATCAGCCTGTACATGAAAGCAAGTAGCAATCTGGATGAATTATTTCTGAAAGGTGAGGAAAATTTTGAAGGGGTCAAAAAATGAAAAGTAGCAGGAAAAGACAACAACAAAGTAAAAATCCAATATAACTTACAAGCTATTAAAAATAGAGTAACTCTCATTTACCTTAAATTTTCTGAACTGAATTCTGACTCCAAGAATTTCAGAAACTGCTCTCTTCCCACAGGGTCTTTCAAAGCTTCATCCATGCCAAATCCCCATCGTTTCACCCTCTGCTGTCCTGGCTCTTTGCTACAGAATTAAAAACAGAACCCGAAGTGACCAATACTTCAGTATTCTAACAATGTATTAATATTTTAGACTAAGTCCTAAAGTTCCACGGTTTTTTCACTTTTTAGAGTGCTCACATCTGTGCAATGTTCAGCAATGAGCAGACTGTTAATACTTACTTAGGAAGAAGGTAATACACAGAAAAATAAAGATTTCCAACTAGGAATGCTATCAGATTTTAAAAGCTGTCCTTTTTTTTTTTTTTTTTTACCATAGTGAAAGCTTGGAAACTGGTTACTGTAACATTTCACACAGATTTATTAATAATTAATATATAGCACTTCCCATCTTAAAAATCTGTAAAACTGGAAAGACCAAAAGGGTACTGCATTGCCCTTCTAAGGCCTCAGTATTCTCCTGCAGTACCTCTCTCTGAAATCTTCATATTTCCAGAAAAGCATGTTATACTGCCTTACTTCCAAAGAAGAAATAAAATTGTATACCTTGCCTCCAGTTCCCAGAAAGTGGTGTCATCTGATATCCAAGGGTTTGAGGGATCAGGGGGCACAAGGAAAGGATCATATTCCAAATACTGCTCTGTATAAGCTAATAGACTAGGAAAACAAAAGCATCAAACATTGTCACGTCAGGAGGAGACGAAACCTGATGAGGTCACCCCAGCTAACAAGTCACCTTGCATCACCAAGCCATGGTAACTGTGTGCCCACACTCAGAGGGCAGCCACAAGCTCAGGGTGAAATGGGTTTTCTCAGGCTGTTTGACAGTGGACCATTGAAGAAGGAGGGGTGGCTCAGGTATACCCAGAGTAGAAATAAAATAAGCTTCCCTAATACTTCCACATAGCTCCATTTAAGGTTCCTTTAGGCACTAATAAATTAAATCATACAACCTCCTCCGTGCACATTTGTTTTTATAAAGGAACATGTTTTATATCCCTTTATGGTTTTAATCAACAGTTCCCTTAAAATCTGTTCTAAAACACTGCATTTTACACAGGTCATAGTTATTGACCTGCAGCTGCTAGTACTCCTTTTATTTTATCTTAAATATCTTTTTTATTATTATTATTTCCTAATCCAAGGACATTATTCCCAGCAAAAATAAATCAATTTTTAAACTTTTTTTTTTTTAATATTCAGGAATTGGTCAGGCTCAGTCACACACACTAAAAACTTTGCTTGTATTCTGGTAATTTACATCTCCCATTGTCCTTATTTATGCTTGCTGTTTCCTTTGGTCTCATAATTCTTGTAAAATTATTGACAAGTGAGGACAACTATTCTTTCTTTTCAATTCCTATTATATTTAGTGTACTTTTTTTTTTTTTTACTGTTCAGCAAACAAAAAAATCTTTGCCTGCTCTCTTTATAAATAAATATTTATTTGGATTTGCATATGTATACACACATACACATAAATAAGTAGACATATATGCAGAAAGGTTTATGAGAAGATGAAGAGCAATTTGTATTTGGTCTTATTTCCTTTACTAAGCCCCATGCAGCTCAATTTGCTGCAATGTTGGGCTTTTTGTTTTATTTGCTTTCTAGCCCCTTCCTGACAAACTTAGGTCTTATTTGCAGACAGATTCCTACTAGGGTTACATCTCTGACCCAAACTGAGCCCAAACTCACTTTGTTCAAGCACTGACTGAGCTCCACACCAGCCAATTCCCTTGCTCCATCAGTGATTGCCCTTTCGAAATATCAAAACAACAACCCCAGACCTATTCCCATTTAGCCTCCCTGCCAATGAAAGATGAAACTTATAATCACTTGGTCAGAGGCTCTTTCAGTGACTCAGGTTCATCAGAAATGTATCATGGAATATCTGGAATATTTTTATCACTAAAAGAATTTTATCCTTCTCCACTTAAAGTAAACTCTCATCAGTTATTTCTATGACATCTGAGCTCTCATGTCTCTCTTTGAAGAGCTATTTGCAGTGAATAGCTCTTTGAAGCTATTTCACACTGACATTTTTCCAAATAGTTACCAGTCTAATTGAAAAAAATAGAAAACGTGACAATATACGTACCTCTCTGCAACTTTTGACATTTTTAATCTATGTCTGTCTAATTGCATTTGCCAGTGCTTAATCTGCAAGAAAGGAAGGAAAAGAGTTTTATGAGTAATTTATTGCTTGACTCTATTTCTATAACTTTTTTTATTAGGGCTGTAATTGAACATTAATTTATCCTAGGGCACAGAAGAGAAATATATCTGAATTAAAACAACATTTCACCAGTGTAGCTCTAAAATAAATGGAAGTTTCCATTAAAGAGAAAAGCCCATACAGAGACAAAAAATGTGCCCAATATAACATTTTCCCTAAAGGTTCATCAAGAGAAATCCAGTTAGCCATTTTTTAGATTTTTGAGGAGAACTAATACTTCTTCAGACATTTAACTTCTCCAGACTCTAACATCTCAGAATAGATTAACAAAGTTTTAACAGTAGATAAGTGTGTGAACCTATACATGCATGTATGGAGTGGTAAGTACACCCCCAAGCCTCAAATCAGCCTTGAAAGAAGAGCAAGCTGTCTACAGCTAAAGGGGCTAATGGGCTGAGCTATACAATGAACGCAGTCACTGGCCTACTTCCTACTGCCTTTAGGTGTTTAATACATGATACAAAAAATTCAGGTTTTGTCTCATTAGTTTTGATATGCCTAAATCCATATACCTTGAGACAAGAAAAAAGTTCATTAAATGTTTGCAACAGCTGTTTTGAATAACTTCCCAGTTACAATAACTTTTGGGTTTATACCTAAAAAGTTATCACCTAAAAAGTTATTTTAAAAGTACATTTTTGTAGTTATGTTCCAAACCTCTTGGTGTAGTTCATCTTCTGTGGGTGGCTTACTCTCTGGCACTGGCGTGTGCGTAGGGCTGTGACTTCGAATGTCATTTTGTAAGCCATAGACAGACTGTGCAAAAAAATACGGAACAATGATGGTTGCTTTCAGACAATGCTTTCTACACACCTCCATACTACATTGTGCTCAAGAAGTTAGCCAAGATCATCTTTACCTAAAGAAACTTCAATAACCTATGCACTCAGATAAAATCATGCTTCTGCACTGGAGTGTAAAACAAAGACTCCCAAACTCCCACAGTTCCATAAAGCCACAAGCAAGGATCTACTTTTATTAGGTCTCTATATTAGCATCACACTAAACATGGGGAATGACACTGGGAGATTCTATTACAGTAAGTAATAGCATATATAAGGAGATGACTGGTAGGTGGAGTATCCTGAGAGGTACACTAACTCACAGATTATTTGGATTACTTCCAAAATTGCAATTACTATCTGGTAAATTACACTAATCTGGACCTTTCACTACCATAAAGAAGCCAAGCTAAAACTTTCTCTAAATCCACTTTCCTTTTTAAAACTTACCTTCCTATGGGTCAACATGCAAATGCACCTCAAAGGAAGTACTTTAAATGGGAGTCAATCTATATGGTTATGGTGCAAAGGATTTAAAAGTGTTGAGCCAATCCATCTGTACATGCCTAGAGAATTTACACTCTAATTACAACCTAATTTAGATAGAGCTAATTTCTTCCATCATTTCCAGTCATCCATTTTGGGCATAATTGGAATATAGAGGCACCCTTTTCATGAAGACCAGGAGAAGAACTGCTGTTAGAGTTTATACTGAATTTTTAGTTTTTTTTTTTTCTTAATTACTGACAGAAACATTTTAATGTGCTTTATTCAATCTACTGAATAACATGAATAAAGCATGCAAAAATGAATTTTATCTTCAAAATCTGTTTGTATTTCTCCAAAATTCTATGTAATAGCATTCACTTAGCATTAGTAAATTTGCTAATACTAATTCAACTAAGAGCTTATGAAATATTAACCTACATTTCATGCATTTGCTCCTTGCAGCTCTAAGAAAAAAAGTGCTTTAAGAAATTATGGAAATTCATTCTATAAATTTTCTCCACCTCCTGCTTTTGATATAATAACTTACCTTTCTTGTTTTATGTGGATTTCTCATTCTTGAAGATTTTTTTATATCCACTTCAGTAGTGTTTACACAGCCAGGCTATTAAAAGAAAGAGAAAGGAAAGCAAAAGGCTGAATCTGTGATGGAACTTCTCAGAGCTACTCCTCTTCAGAGTGCAAGACTGAAAAATAAATTCCCCACCATGAAATAGAAATAAAATAAATTGCCAAGACAGTGGAAACCAGTCAGTTTCTACTTTGGTTTTGCCAAGGAAGCCATTCATTACATTCTAGCTACCCCTCTAAGGAGCATGGTTGACCTAATGAGACAAAATAAACAGAATTGTGAAATATTCACCTCAGCTGTGAACCTCAGGTTCATTTCAGGAGCATTTGGTTTTGGGTCAATTTTTAAAGAGGATTATGTTTTAAAACTAAATGAAAAAAAAAAAAAAAGTTTTGTTTCTACAGAAAAGAAAGAGAAAAAACCAAACCAAACCAACATGAAAGGCTTCTGCAGCCTAACCAGAAGACTGACAGCCTAAATAAAATTACTCTCCACACATCAGATTTGAGTTTCAGTGGTTCATTCTCACAACTCTGTGGCATCCCAAAGCACACAAGTACTCTAGTTTCTCCTAATTCATCTTCTTTTGATACTTCCCTTTAAGTACAAAAATCTATTTGTAAATCTGTTTTTTACCCATTGCTGGAAACAAATAAAAAAAAAGTGTTTTGCTCTCAGGTGAGTTTTATCTATTGATTTTGGAGGGACTACATTTGACACTGAGTGGAAACTACAAAATCTGTTCTCTAGTGGGAACAGACTTCTACTGAAAGTAGGTTGAGGCATTTTTAATGGAAGTAGCTAGATATTGAATTTACTTGCCCAACAGCCAAGCTGGAGTTATTATTGCTCTAATGATACAACCTCTGTCTTCTTATCATAATGGACAATGCTTGATGTGACCCTAAATTTAATAAGACAAAATTTAGGCTTGTATAAGCTAATATCTTATATAGCTAAGAAAAAAATAGCGTTCATTAAACAGAGCAATGTTTCTTTGCCTCTGGAGAATTTTCTAAACAACAGACTGATTTTTTTTTATCCAGTTGGTTTTTTAAAAAATTAATAAATAAATAAGTTTCTATTTTAAAGTAATAAATTAGTGTGCATTTGATCGTATAACATTTGAAGTAGAAACAGCTCCTCATTGCTAATGAAAAAAATAGACAATATTCTTAAGACTGCATCTGACACACTAGAATTGGGACAGTATCTTTTGTGCTTCTGAACAAAAATGGGAAGTTTTGAACTCAGAAATAACTTGCAAATCTCAAAGAAAAAAACAGGTTGAAAAATACAAAGTTCTGCATGATGGCCAATTTAAAAGGAGAAAGCAATTTCCCAGGGCAGTATACTGAGATATAAAGTTTAAAAAAAACAAGTGCATCTACTTTAGTACTACAACAGCAGCTGGCAGTGAAGAAAGCAGTGGCTTTAACAACATCTACAGCCTTTGAATATAACAATTTGAATAGCAGGCACAATTACATAAGGCACAAACTGTTATTTGTTCAGTTTTCAGTTATGGTTTTCATGCTTTTAAGAATGCTTTGAAGTTATGCTTTTAAGTATGTCCTAAAAATGGAAAGGGGGAAAAAAAGCATAAACCTCATCTGAATCCTCTTATTTTTAAAGATTTCTGGCCCACCAGAAGTAAATTGGTATGGATAGATCTTGCAACTTGCCTGGGTAACTTCCATGCCAGAATTGTACAGATTGATGCGAGTGGGACAAGAATTTCTGGGTGACCTTTAGGGACAAAACAAGGGCAACACTTTTACTGGTTGCAAAGAGGCCCGACCCAGTAGTGACCTTGTACAGCACTCTGTGGATTCTTACTGACACCTGGCTGCTTCAAACCCCTCACACTGAAGTGAAGTTGCTCAGGCAGGGAGAGGCTGTGGGGGGAGAAGCTGGACCAAGGTGGGCCTGAAGAGAAGCTGGCAGGAGAGCAGCCCCAGGAAGGCAGAGGCAAGGAACTATCAGGAAGCTTCAGGGCTAAAGGGTGTATCAACTACTCTGACAACCTGGGGTAACAATAGGAGCTCAGGACATGCATCACTACCTCTATACAAGAGCATTCTCATAATTTTATTTAAATTACATGATCAGAAGTACCTAATGTAGTTTGGGACACAATTTTTCTTCTTAGCTGAAGTATATTTATTAAATTATACTTGATATGAGATGGGTTTTATTGTTTTTCTGATGCTGCCAAATTTCATCTGTAAATATTTAGGAATAAATATCAAACATCTTTTCAATTAAAATAAACACAAAAAGTTGCATTATGTGAACATTTTGCTAAAATAACTCAGCCTTTGTGGGAAAACCTTTGCTGGACAACATTTAATTTTATTTGTATGCCCTCATTAACATAATAAGTATGTGTTTCAATACAATTATATCCAGCTGTGTTTTCTTTTTGTGTTGTTTTTTTAACTGTACTACCATAGTTCAAACAGTGAGATGCCTGTCAGAGTGCTCTGCTGCAAGAATCCCATTTAGTGTGTGGTATATAATTTGCATACTAATACTGTAAATAGTTTTCAAATGGATTTCCTGGAAGACTTGAGAAGTCTTCTATATGTGTAAATAGAGTGCTTGTTTCTTTCAGGAGTAATGTTCTGTGTGAAAACAATTTTGCCCCAACACACACAGAGGAAAGCCTTGTGACCTTCTTGAAACTATCATAGAGCAAGATCATAATCAGGGTAGAATCTGGTCCTCATCAATTTTTAAATATCTGTGTGAAAATCTGTCATACATTCACTAAGTTTTTTTCATCCATCTATTAGCATGGACTTATCTCAAAGTACAAATGCCCTCGTATTAATCAAAGGACAGGTCAGTCCAGTCGTGATAAATTCACTGTTGATATAAATGGATACAGATAAATAAAATAAAAGAACAGCACATACAGATAAATTTCAATCACATATAATATAAAAGAACCCCACATATAGAGAACCTCACATATAGACAAATTTCGATCCCTACTTCAATTATTGGATAACAAGGTTAGTATGAATCCCAAGCAGCAGCACTTTCTGTCTAGGAGGATGCACACCAGGCTTCTGCTAAGAAACACCAAAGAGGAAAGAAGCCTTGTCTGTAAGCAGAGGAGGAACCAGAACATACATGCCTTGATCTGGCTATCACCAGCATTTGAAGCAGCCATCTGAGAGGATGTTGAGTTAAAAAAAAATCCACTTGATATTAATGTTCTATCCCTGATAACTGTGGCAACAGTGAATATATTATTTAAGTCCTTCTAATAGTGCTACAGTGTATTAATTTTAGGAAACCTGTAACAACTCTTTGGAAGAATTAATTATTTACAGAATATGGCATGCCTGAACCACGGTACATTTCCATCCAAGCAGTGCAGGGTATGGAGCATTTATAGTCTGCTTGCTGTACAAAGTTGCACACTCCAAGTACCCTTTTTATTGCCTGGCCATATAGCCCAAATCAACAGCTGTTAATGCCTTTTTTGTATAAAAACCTCTTTGCTATGATGTAATTCTAGAAAGTGCAGAATGCTCAATAGAGAGTAAATTAATGTTTATAATTAGGTCAGCTGAAGTTTTGATGTCTTTTTTATCTTCACAAAGAAGACAGCAATTTAACTGTGAATCTACTTAAGCCAAAATAACCAGAAGTTTTCATGTATCTGAGACAAATATACCCCTGCATGTGGGAGGGAATAAGCTTGTGCATTCTGATAGGCTGGGGACTGTCTGTCTGGATTGCTGCTCTGTAGGAAATGATCTGAAGGAGAAGCTGAACATGAGTCAGCAGTATCTCTTTGCAGCAATGCAGACAAACCACATCCCCAGCTGCACGAGCAACAGCTTAGCCAGCAGGCAAAGTGCTTATTTCTTTCTACTGAGCATCAAAAGGAAACTTCTGGGACACCAAGACTACTTTTGAGCCCCACAAACAACACAAGAAATATATTTCAAATGGCAAAATTCTGTGGAGGAACAGACTTTTTTTATGCTTGCAAAAGAGAAGAGCTAACTGCTGCCTTTTGTGCCTACAGGGGGGCTTAGAGAGATGAACCTTTTTTAAAGGTGCACTCTGGAAGGGCAGGAGACAGTAATCTGAGATTGCAGTAAAGGAATTTCCAGTCAGCTGTAAAGAAATATACTTCACATTAAAATTAAGAGAGGCTGTGGAATGTCTGTCCTTGGTGATTTTCAAAGCTTGTTTAACCCAAGTGCCTGGACAATCTTATTCACCTTAGAAGTCAGCACTGGTTTGACCAGGAATTTGAACTACAAGACCTCCAGAGGTCCCTCTCAGCCTACACTTCTGTGGTGCAGCCTATTCTTCACAAACTGAAGGGAGTGAAATTCAAAGAATCCACTTTACAGAACACTCCAATCAAGTATTCACATTGGTGTGAAACTCATCTCTCTGCCTTCCCCACCCCACAGCAGCAGAGTGGGAACAAGACTGGTATTTGCTTCCTTGCTGCTGCCCCTGCCCTGCAGCAGCCTGTGCTGTAATCCCAACCCGTACAAACAAACCTCAGGTTGATTTAAGGAAATGTAATTTCTCTTTAGCTAAAAATACATAGGTGCTATTTAAAATAATTACCTCATTTCAATATGCACACCCATAAATTCAGAGTTCATTAAAGCAGTAAATATTTAAGTAGATTGATTCACCTACATTAGGCACTTTCATTACACTTCAGTGTCAGTATACTGTGAAATAGATATTTTTATTTGTTTTGCAGGCATAGGCTAACTTGTTAAGTGTAATTGCAAAATACCAAGTTTTAAGATCTCCAGGCTTCAGAATTTACAAGACTTTAAATTTAAATTATGGACCTGGATACAAACATGACAGATTGTCTCTCTCACTGGAAAAGATAAAAGTCAGACACACAAACACAAAGGAAAAGCAGAGATTTAAATCTTTCTTTTACATTCTCTGAAATAGAAGATTATCACAAAGGAGTAAGCTTAAAATTTGAAATTTTCTGAGTGTCAAATGTTAGAGTTGGATTCTGCAACAAC